ACTGCACGACGTGGGTAATGGCCGGATTCTTGTCGGGGTTTGTGGTGTTTAGGTTCAGGCCGGATCTATGGGTAAGGTACAATTATGTTCTGTCGGGAGCATTGGACGCAGGGTTGGCGTTTATGGGCGTTTTGATATATTTGTGTTTGGGGCTTCAGAATGTGAGTTTGGAGTGGTGGGGGAATGAGCTTGATGGCTGTCCTTTGGCTTCTTGCCCTACCGCGGCTGGCCTAAGCGTTGATGGTTGCCCGCTTTATACCTGAAAAAGAAGGATAAGCGATTGCAATTGCGATTGCGATTCCAGACAGATGCAACTTGGACGGAAATGGCTAGGGATTCGCGATTGCGGTCGCGGTTACCATTTGCAAGTTTGGCAAGGATTCTATTTTTCGGTGATTTATTGTTGGTACATTGTAAATTTGCATGTTTATAATCCCAATGAACTTTGTTTATTCAATTTTTTCAGTATAAATCAAGTGATTTTGCATTGCATTGCTTGTTACGAATTGGATCAACTGATTTTTTTTTTTAACAAAAAACATAAAGATGAAAATATATTCAAACAGGTAAAAAGTAAAAAAAAGAAAAAAAGAAATTGACAATCCTCCCTCGGCATTTATTGATTTTTTTTTTCTCGGATACGATTAAATTATTAATCATTCGCTCCAGTACTTCTCATCGTCACCGTCCTTCTCGAGCTCCGTCTCATCCTCACCGTCCGATTCGTTAACCATTCCCATCTTAAACCTCCTCACGTCTTCCATGGCGGCGCTTCTGAACAACCCCACGTCCACTGCTCCCGACACCATGTGATACCCACGCGCCCGGAGATCGCCGGCGCCGTCGTGCGGCACCGCGAACCCCGACAAGTAGGCCCCACCTTTCGCCGGATCTGACGTCAGCACCGCCTTCTCTGCCTTCCTCATCATCTCCCTCACCTTCTTGTGCCCTGGGTCCCAGAGGTACCCCATGCTCGCGCTCAGATCCAACGGTCCCATTTGCACGCAGTCCACTCCGTCGACGGCCGCGATATCCTCCGCCTTCTTCACCCCCTCCGCCGACTCCACCTGGCACATTATCAGCAGCTCCTCCGCGTAATTACCTAAATACCCCTCATCGACTCCGTACTTGGAGGCGCGCACCACCGGGTGCGCCGATCCCCGGACGCCGTCGGGAGGGAAGCGGCAATACGACACCGCTTTGCTCGCGTCCTTGCGGGACTCGATCATGGGGAACATCAGCCCCTGTGGACCGAGATCTAGGGCTTTTTTCGCCCAGGTCGGGCAGTTCTCCGGTAGCCGGAGAATGGTGGCAGCGCCGGCAGCTTCGAGGGCTCGGATGCAGTGCAGCGCCTCCATGATACCGCCGGGGCCGTGCTCCATGTCGATGACGACGAAATCGTAACCGGAGAAAGCAGCGATCTCGGCCAGAGCCGGCGAGAACGAGAGCAGAAACATGCCGTAGAGCGTTTCTCCTCGGCGGAGGCGGGATTTCAAGGAGGTTTCAGATCTATCTGCTATCGCAGGGCTAGAGGAGGATACGGCGGAGGTGGGGGAGTGATCGGAGGCGGAAGAAGAGTATCGGATAGGAGTTAGGGTTTTGCGGGAAAACGAAACTGACGAGGATCTGAAAGGACGAAACTTGGGGGGACATGATTTCCCGATGAATACAGCAGGAGAGTAGGAGTTAGCGAGAGAAGTCACATCCATGGCGGCGGCAGAGATGGAGGCAGCCGTAATTGCAATTCTTCATCGTTTTCCCTGAATTTCATTTCATGTTATCTTTCCTGGAATTTACAAGGACTTCGCTTATTCTCAACAGCGTGGCCATTTTGATTATTAACCAATAGCCCAATTCAATAAGATATAATTCTAATCAAATCAAATTGGTTATTAAAACTGTATGATTTTTTTAAATTTAAAAAAAATTGAAATCGAATTGAATCTAACCAATTAAAAAAATAACTGAAAAAATTAATAATTTTTTAAATCGAAAAATGAAATGATTATAATTATTTATAACTAAAAATAATCTAACCGAATCTATACCCGAAGACCAAAATGATCGCCCTAATTCTGAACACCTCGTTGTCACGTGGGAGCGTTTTGGAGGTGGAAAGTAACAAAGCATGTCGTTTTTATCTTTTAAAACGACAGATCGACTCTCTAGGTAAATTCGAAACAGGACGAATATGTGGGCTGAAATGTTTTGGACTAGGTGACTACGTCGCCTCTCTCTCTCTGGCTTTCCCCATTTTAGTGGCCACTCCACTTTCAGGCACAAAAACCTGAAACAGATAAACTCGTAGATTTAAAACAAAAAAATGCTCAATTTAGCTCCGCGGTCCCTTCCCTTGAAACCAAATCCGGTGATTTCATCGAGTATTCCCTTTCAGAACCCGGAGCAATCCAACCTTCGAGCGCCGAAATCTTCGTTATTTCGCAGAACCCAGAACTGGAAATGCAGAAGTTCATCGGAATCGAGTGGCGACCGAGATTTGAAGGATTCGTTGTCGGGCATTGTGGGCAAGCAAGTGGAGGAGCTGTTGAGCAGAGAAGAGAACAAGGGTTTGCTTGATGGTTTAGAAAAAGCCTCTATGAGGGTGGAAATGGCGAGGCGAGAGCTTGCAGAGATAGAAAGGCAAGAACTTGAGGCGAAATTGTTGCAGGATTATGTTAATCAGCTCGAAACAAGAGCTTCCGAGGTTGGTTTTCGATTTTATCTCCAAACATTTTAGGGTTCTGAAGAATAGCCTCAGTTTTCTTCTTTGATCATTATCTTGGTGTTGCCATGAGTTTGGTCTGTGGTTTGTGTAGAGATTCAGAGAGGCTCATATACAGAAACCTTTGACTATATTTGTTGGATTCCCGGGATCTTTTATTGCTACGAAATAGAAAATTGAGCATTTCCCAGCTGAGGGATGGATTCAATTTGCCTGTTTCGGCTTTTGGTCATGACGTGAACGTGTTCTTGTTTAATCACCAAATGAAAGTGTGTTTGTTTCTCTATTGACAAGAAAAAGGCAGATTCGTATTGCTTTTATGAAATTTCAAATAACTCGGCATTGAAGCTATCCGTTTACATTTCATCTGGTTCAAGATCGCAGAATGTCAGCAGGAGATTATTGCAGCAAGATCAAAAATCGAAGAGGCAGAACGTTCCTTATCCATGGCAGAAAACCCGACAGGCGAAAGTGTCGATAGAGACAAGGAGAGAATAGAATCAGTAAAAGCGGCAGTTATTGCTGCTGCAATCGGGACAGTAGCGGAAATTCCCATCGCTCTTTCGCAGGTCTCCAGCATCGAGCAGCTGATTCTTCCCCTCGGAATTGCATTTGTGAGCTGTGCCTTGTTTGGAGTCACCTTTAGGTATTCTGTTCGAAGAGACTTGGATGATTTTCATCTGAAAACCGGAACCACATTGGCCTTTGGATTCGTAAAAGGTAACAAAGTTAGTTATTTTTCGGTCTAACGGAGAAAAGTTTAGATTTTTTTGTCGTGTTTAGATGCAAATGCTAATAGATTGCGAGCCGGTTTTGTGAGAATGCAGAAGGCAATAAGAAACGGATAATGCTCCATTTGATTAGCTTATGCTGCTTTCCATTTGGAATCTTTTGACAATGGGATTTGCAGTTGGTTTATGCTTCTTGCTGTGTACAATCTTCATATGTTTCTATAGAAAATGGCTGTCCGATAAACGAATATTTCGGTCCGATTAGAACTATCTGATATTCTGGTGTTGTACAACACAGGTCTAGGTATGTTAAGCGTTGGACCGCCATTGGAGCTGAGCTCGGAAAGCCTGGTTTCGCACGCCTTGGACGGAGCCCTTTTGGTGTCTCAGAGCCTGTTGATCTTTGCATTTGCCTCTGTTGGCTTAGACTTCTGTTTCAAGACGAGGCTTTTAAAACCATTTCCTAGTTCTTCTCAGCTGTAGATTTGCTGAGGAACTAAAACGACTTTGTAAAAGAAAATTAAATGAAATATTCAGAAATATGTAATTCAGAATGAAAAGAGTGAGACCGGTTAACAAAAACTAAATTAAAAAAAAGGACACAATGTTACACCAAACCGACCACCTTGCAAGACCACAAATTTTTTTTTTTTTTCATTTCTCTCTTTGGTCCTTTATGTTTTGTCATGTTAATCAGACCTCTGAAATTGAAGCTCTGCTCTGAACACACACTTTCTCAAAACAAATTCAAAACTCTCACACTTGTATTAAACTTCATAAAACGTATATATACACAACATCAGAAACTATCTTTAACAACACTATCACCAGCGCCGTCTCACAAAATTTGGAGGCCCCGTATATATTATAATTTTAAAATAATAAAAAATTATTAATTAATATAATAAAAAATAATAATATTTGAAAATGATAAAAACATATTTAATATAACAAAATATATAAATTAACTAAGTTAAAATTAAGTTGGGTCCCTAAATTTTGGTGATAATTTATTTAATTAAAAATAGATAACCAGAATTGTTACTTCTTTGTTATAACTACATTTAATAATATATATTATTAACATTTTTAAAATTAGGTGGGATTTACACACAAAAAAAAAGTGGGGCTTCCCAAATTTTGGACCCTTGTTCCATAGCACCTATTGCACACGTTAATAGACGGTCCTGACTATCACACATACATAACTGATACATTAAAATAATACAGCAAAATAAAATAGATAGAACTCATAGCCACCAGATTCATGAAGGGCAAGGACCCATTCTCTGTTTTTCTACAGAATTATGCAGCCTGTCTCCAAGAAAGAACTGAGTGGTTCGTGAATCCATCAGACCGTAGACAGAAACACCTGATGCTGACCTGTCATTTTTTGGCCATGGAACGCAACACAAGGCTCATTACTTTTACTCAAAACATGTCCAAAACCCAAAGGCTTAGAGTCCATTGAAACGGCATTAATGTCACACCGTATCTTATTCTTGTGGTTATGGCTGTTCACCATTCATAACCATAAGAATCAGATATCTCAATATAATTGTAAATATTGTTTACTGTATTATTACCAACTGTACTAATACCAATAATTTTATTTTATAAATTAGGATCAATTCTATAAAAATTTCTCAATGAAAAACTCATTTCCACATTTGTTTTTACTTCACAAGTAAATTTCTCAAATTAAAAAAAAATCATTAAAATCTCTACACTTTTAAAACATTATCATTTTCAATAAATATTGACCAATGTTGATTTTTAATATTTTTATCCCACGTCAATTTTTTTTTGTATGCCACCAAGTTTTTACAAAAATTCAAAAACATTTACGCACATTTACATTTAGAGAGTGTAATCTTGGAAATGATAAATAAATGGAGCTAAAGCGTGTGCCACTCTTGAGCCGACGTACGATCGTCTCTAGGCCCACCAAAATGAGACACGTGGCGGCATTGCACTGTCGCCATCCGACGGTGGATGGATCAGTCCAATGAGGTGATTTGGCGCACAAAATGGATAGGTTGACGGAAGTTTCTGAAGAGACGTCTGTCTGTTCAAGTCAGGTCATTATTACTCTTTTCGTATATGTTGCGAATAAAAAGCCGTCAGCATTTTTTAGGCAGAGATTGTCATCTCCATTCAGCTTCTGGGTTTGTTCTTCGTGTTCTAACTCTGTTTGGCTGCTGAGAAAGGTTAAGAAAGCTCGGGAATTTGCTCTCTGTAAAGTTGCTCCTATCGTCATTCTCCTTTTTTTGCTTTTGTCTCATGGATTCTGTATCTTAAGTAGCTTCTTTAACTGTTGATCGATCTGGCTTTTCGGAGGAAAATCTTCTGGGTCTCACTTGACTGAGAAAAGGGACTTTTAACTACTTGAGCTCTGCAACCTAGTTTTCCCGGGTATTTGTTGATCTGTCAGTTAAAATTTACTGGTTTTGCAACATGGGTACATGAAATTTTCCCAGATGGGTGGAGGTCTCAAAGAGGATGTTCGGGAGGAATTGGCTTCTCCATCAAACCCTGCTCGAACCCTAGTTCTGGTTGGGCGTACTGGCAACGGGAAAAGCGCCACGGGCAACACTATTCTTGGAAAGAAGGCGTTTACATCAGAACTTAGATCAGTAGGCGTTACCAGCACATGTGAATCACATGGACTTAAACTAGAAGATGGTCAGATCATCAATGTAGTCGACACTCCTGGTACGGACTTTGTTTCACAGTGCCAAATTGATTCAACAAATCCTTAGTGTCAAATTACTCCGTATAGGTCAAACTGAGGCATCCAAGTCCAATCACGTTATTTTATCATATCCTCCTCGTATCTGCTCGGGTCATCTTATCATAGTAATTTAGTCAGATCATGGTATGTGCTTGTTTTCCTCACAACTCGGAGTAACTTCAGTCGAGTCAGTGTAGCCCATTTCTGCCACGGAATGTAGTGTTAATCTGGTGACTGTTACAGGATTGTTTGATTTGTCTACTGGTATCGGGTTTCTGAGCAAAGAGATTGTCAGATGCATAACTCTTGCCGAAGGTGGAATCCATGCCGTGCTGTTAGTTTTCTCAGTTAGGAGTCGGCTAACTGAAGAGGAGCAGTCTGCGCTCCGTCATTTGCAGGAACTCTTTGGCCCTAAAATTGTTGACTATATGATTGTTGTTTTCACCGGAGGTGATGAGTTGGAGGAATGTGACAAGAAACTGGAGGAGTATTTGGCTGAGGGTCACCCCGAGTTCCTGAAGGTCAGTGCCTGGAAAATATGAACCGGATAACGCAAATACTTCTGTATTTTGAATTGAGTTGTATCAATTGTATAGGAAGTTCTTGCGCACTGTGACGGTCGAATAATCTTGTTTGATAACAAGACTAAAGACGAAGGCAAGAAAGCCAAGCAAGTCCAAAATCTTCTCAAACTTGTTGACTCTGTCGGGAGGCGGAATGGCGGAAAACCGTACACGGATGAGTTGTTCAGGGAAGCACAGGTGACTTGGTTCTCGATTCTGTTAATTGCAATTGCCTTAGCTTAGGAGAATGTTCATTAAAAATGGCATATTCCTTGTCAGGAAGAGGTGATCAAACTCCGTGATCAGCGAAGGGAGGTTGAATCATTGAGGGGCAATTCAGAACAAAAGCTACCGAAGTTGAAGATACAGTTCAAAAAGAATGAATCGCAGCTCAGCCAAAACATAGAGAGGGTAATTTGTATTAATGAAACTTTGATCAATCTAATAATTTTAAAAATGTAACCTAGCCTTTCGTTGATGAATAGAAGCCTTGAGTTTGCATGATTCATTTTTCAGGTGGAGAGAAAGCTGGAAGACACAACGAGGAGGCTTGAGAAGCAACTGGAAGAAGAAAAAACTGCAAGGATTGAAGCAGAAAAGAGAGCGGACAAGTTCAAAAAGCAGTCCAAAGATGAGATTAAGATGCTGAGAGAGAAGCTGGAGAAGGCTGAGAAACAAGGAACTTGCATCATCCTCTGAGATTTCATGAAAGATTGTGAGTCCTTTTGTGTTTGAAGTTGATCTCCTTCTCTTCTTTATGTGGACATATGATATGCTTAATTATCAAGGTACTTCCTTACCTACTATCTCTTCCTCGGAAACTACTTCGCGTATCTTCTTGGGCATGAAGTTATTTCGCGGTGGTGGTTTATGTCGTTAGTCAATGTCCAAGAAAGTAGTGGCAATGCCTTCTTCTCTCGCAGAAGAATCCGGTCGTCCTTCGAATCCAGCGACCAGTTCGTCTTGTCTTCTTGCAATTTTGTGTTCTGTTTTCTCTGGTTTCCTGGGTCCATGTCAAGTTTTCATCTTGCTGCCACTTGGACAATTGATGGTTCTTAGATGGCTCTGATTTCATCCACGAAATCATGGGTCGGCCCCAGAAATAAGCGTTTCAGACGGCATACAGTAGTTAAGGTTGTCGAGATTGTTTGACGTTTGTTCGGATCAAAATCTGCTTAATTTCCCTAATGCAAGAAGAACTTCACTGTCCAAGCAACATCTGATCTCTGAACTTGACAGAACAATCATAATCATTTGAAATTTATATCGAATTCGAATATCGACCTCAAACCCGAATTTCGGATTCTCAGTGCAGCTCCTATTTTTAAATTTCAAATACCTGTGGCTCTTTTTCATTTATTTCTCTCTGAGGGATCGAAATTAAATATACAGAGGAAAAACATGTAAATGGGCTTGGTCCGAAGTTTTAATTTAATGGGCCGAGCCCATAATATTACATTTAACGCGCCATGAATGTTTTCCTTTTTTCCTTTTTTTGTGGATAAAAGAAGGAAAAACTCCAGCTCATGTTAATGTCTGTTTTTTTTTTTCATTTTCAATTAGGGTTTTGACCTTTTCGTTTTCTTGTTAGAATTCTCCCCTCTCTCATCCGTTCCCTATTTAAAACGTTCCTGCCTCGACTTCCCTGCTATTTTTCCTTCACATTGCATTTCACAAGAACACTTCGTCGAGATGGGTCTGGTCAAGCTTCGTCGATTTGTTTGCAGAGCTTTTCGACGGAACTCCGGCCGTGACGAAGAATATCTTTTCCACGTCAAAGCTGCAGTGCCTCGAGCAACTGACCATCACCAGAGCCATAGATACATAGCAGTTAGTCTCGATCCAGAATCAGCCTCTACTATCGCGGAGTTTATTTCTCGGCGTCTAAGGACGATTAAGGATCCTGTCGAAATACTGGAAACCCTTTTGCTCATTCACAGAATCCTTGGTGCTCATGCACAATTCCATACCGAATTCGCTTTCGATCGTCAAAAACTGGGTATTTGCCGGTTCATGAAGGGCAAGGACCCATTCTCAATTTTTCTACAGAATTATGCAGCCTATCTCCAAGAAAGAACTGAGTGGTTCGTGAATCCATCAGATCGTAGGCTCAAACCCGCTGTCAATCGTTCAGAACGTAGGCGTGAAACTATCGTGTCTGGCTCGGTGTTCGACCTTCTACCCAAGTGCCAAAATTTCATCGAAAATGTGTTGAAATTTGATCCGGGTAATGTCGGGTCTGTAGATAAACATCTCGTCCAAGAAGTTCTCCACACCGTCTTGGAAGAGAGTTTCCAGGTTTACGGCTTGTATTCTGACCAAATAAAGAAGGTGAAGCAGCTCATCACGTTCTTTGATGGATCGACGCCCGAAGGAGCTAGGGTTTGCGCTATGCTGAGGATGGCCGATGAACAGAGACAAGATCTCCGCATATTCTACGAGAAGTGCCGAGACGAATGCCTTGGAGACGAAAGCTTGAAGTATCCATCTATGGAAACCCTTATCATGCAATGCATTGCAGCAGTGGAGAAATCGACAAGCGTTACTGCTGCTACTACTACTCCCTTTACGACGAACTATCAAAAATTCTCAAGTAGAATGCCTTGTTAGAAACAGACAAAACTACACGCTAGGATTCATGCTCAAGAATCACACCCTTTTATTGTCGCATGGAATGTATTTTAATTTTTTTTTTTTATGGTTTTGGTGTGATTTTTATTGTATCTCTCTTGGAATAGCATGAGAGCAGATACCGTATAAAAGAAGCAGCGAATTAAAGCTGCCAAATACGTGGACTTTTCTTAATCTTTCTTTCTTTGGATTAAAGTTACAGACTTTGAACTTGGAAGCCATGATACAACATTCCCTTCGTGAGAAAATAGTGGAGTCCTAATGCTGTCAGAATCGCAAAGTGCTTCTGTCTTCAAAAGTCTCCGACCAACTCGACTATTTATAACATTTAGACAGCCCCCCATCTCTGATCATCGTTTCTCCCTTGGACATGGACAAGTCTGAGCTGTGGATGCTGATTAGCTGCAAAGTATATGAGGTTAGATTCTGAGGGAAATCGCAATGGCGTATTTTGGTATCAGAATGAGAGGATTCTAAGCTAAGTACTTTCTAGATCCTCTGTGATATATGGTGTATGTGTGTATTCTGTGTGTAATCAATCTCGCAAAGAAAACCTAAAGGGTGAGTGAATTGATCTAGTGTTATGCTCTGGCGAGACGTAGGTTCCCACAATCGGATCCGAACATGTGTTCAAGAGTGTGTGTGTGTGTATGTGTGTGTCTATTCTGTCTGTGCTTGAATCAACAAGATTAAACCCAAAAACACCTAACTAAAACCCTAATCGAGAACACCAAAGCCTAATTAACCGAATCGGATATACAGAGAGTGAGGGTTCTTGAGAGAAACTAATCTGTGAAAGCTCTCGGAATCTTTCGGTTCTTTCTGTGTAAAGCCATAGCCCTCTGGACATAGATGTCGTCAGTCTGTGTTGATCCGGTTAGCTTCGATCTAGGTCGGAAACGAAGCTGTTGCCGCCGGACAGAATCCCGACGACGATATTGTCCATCTTGCTGGTCGGAAAGCAGAACAGGGAAGAAAGGAGATGGGAGAGATTTGGCGGTCAGTGGTCACAGAGAGAGAATCGCATAAGGTAAGAAGCTTCTCGAAGAAGCCTGAAGTTCTCAGACGTGTCAAAGAGATGAACACGTAATTAGGGTTTAGGATAGGCCGAGACACCATGGGCTGGGCTTGTAGAACGAATGGGCTTGAGCCAGGGAAAAGATTAGGCCCACGTACCAACATCTTAATGAGGTTCGTGAATCCGAGGAAAGAGACCTTTCCTTACTATATTATTAATCGTTGTTATATTATTTTTTTCAATACACAGAAATAATAATAATAGTATTAAAGTCAACCAAAAAGGAATTTTAAAATTACATAAAATATTTTTCAACTGATGAGGTAACATATTAAAAAGAGGCAAATAGGCCGCCGCCCGCCAAAGTTCGCACGTTGTTTGTCCGTGACTGGACCGACGCCGAAATAAAAACTACTAACCAAAGACTTGCGACTCGATCCACATGGGAATATTATTATTAACGATTTTCTAATTCATGCATACGTACAACAATACATATAAACTCGTCTATAATTATACATAGCGTGTGACTGTACGTATATATTATGTCAGATTGCGTATTTGACATCACGAAGATGTTCGTTCTTGTATCGTTTCTCTGCCTTGACTGTTCCTTTAAAGTTTCATTCAGAAATGGATCAAAGATTGAGAGGAGCTGCACAGTCTGGAAGCATTGACGAGTTATACGCACTGATTCACGAGGATCCGCATGTTCTTGAGAACGTCGATGATGTGCCTTTCGTCGAAACTCCTCTCCACGTAGCTGCAGCCTGTGGAGAAACAGATTTCGCCATGGAAATGATGAATCTGAAGCCGGGTTTTGCCAGGAAGCTGAACACGAACGGGTTCAGTCCTCTGCATCTTGCAGTGGACTGCGACCAAACCCGGATCGCCCTCGAGCTTGTCAAGGTCGATCCAGGCCTTGTCCGTGTCCGGGGGAGGGAAGGTATATGAACTATACGCGTTGAAGACGTTAGCCTATATATGATATAGATTCCATACATAGGATTTTTATATTTTGAGGGATGAATCAACAGGCATGACGCCGTTGCATCATGTGGTAAGGAGAGGAGGAGCCGATCTTGTCACGGAGTTCCTCTTGGCTTGCCCCGAATGTATTAGAGATGTAAACACGAAAAGCGAGACTGCTCTACACATTGCCGTGCTGAACGATAGATTCGAAGAGCTTCAAGCTCTCACGGGATGGGTCCAGAGAATGCGCCAGAAGGATGCTGCTTCTGTCGAGATTCAAGTTTTAAATCGGCGAGATCGGGACGGTAACACGGCTTTACACCTCGCTGCTTATCATAACAAACAACAGGCATCTCTTCATTGATCCATCCTCTTATGATTTCGATGACCCTTTTGGTAGGTTTTAACCATGTTGATCGTGAAATATACATTACAGGCTCTAAACCTATTGCTGAAATGTCCTGCCGTTAATCGTAACATCCAGAACGTGAGTGGTCTGACACCCTTTGATATCTTACAAACCAAGGGACATCACACGAAAAGAGATTTAAACAATATGGCACGGAATTTCGGGTGCGAGAATTCGGCCTCTCTGCCCAAAACCAAGACAGCATCTGATTTCTTGAGATCGCCAATCACATTCTCGGATTACTACTCGACCACGATGGTGCGTTATAGGAATAGTATGTCAGAGGGAACTCGTGGAGCCCTTCTGGTCATAGCGGCTCTGATAATCACGGTCACTTATCAGACGGCCCTCCAGCCGCCGGGAGGCGTGCACCAAGACGGCGGCAGCAAGGCAGGTACGGTGGTGATGAAAGAAATCTACTTCATACTCCTATGGGCCTTCAATTCTATGGCCTTTTGGACGGCTCTTGTATTGACGTTTAATCTCTTACCGGTGGGTGGAGAATACACGCTATCGTTCTTCGCGATATCGGTTCCTCTGTTTGTTTCTTATGCAATATCAATAGCTGTGATATCTAATGACTCGGTATTGTATCTCGTGAGGACCTTGAGCATGTGCCTGCTCGGGGTTCCGGCTACTCTGATCCACTTCTTCTTGAAGTGGAAGTGGTCTAAGCTGAAGAAGATGCCCGGACCGAGAAGTGAACTCATTGTGGAAGGTTTCACGACCATGGGTCTCGCGCGAGGAGTCGAGCAAAGCAAGATGCATGCTTGGTGAGTTGTCTGATGTAAAGATGTGTAATGAGTCGTTTATACACGAAGAAACGCGCATATATATACACTCTTCTTCAGTATCATTAATATGTATATATATATATATATATATATCGATATAAAAACATGGAATGTATATCTCTATATATCCATCCCTTCTCTTGTAGATTTGGTTTTCCTGGTCCCTGTAGTTATCCTGTATGTCATCTATATACATATATATATATAGGTCTATATACAAATATACATATTAATTTGATATGTGGTGATCCATATAACACATGACGATTACTCAAAAACAATCCAAAACAACAAAGCGAGTCAAGATATATAACCATAGTTTTTTATTATGTAAATTTTCCATAGTTTTAAAAGATTTCTAGCTTCGGAAGATATGTATGGTCCGAGCTGGAGATGTTGAGCACAATAAAAAAAACGTATGACCTATTATTATTAGTACATGTATGACCCAAAGCCCTTCGGGGCCAGGTCAGCTGGTTGGGAGCAGGGGGCAACTCCTTGAGGTGGAGGTTCGAATCCTGCCGTCTCCCTTCCTCTGACCTGCTCGCCTGTCAGCCTATCATAATGGGCTGATTTACCTCCTACGCGTGTGTTACAGGCTCGTGCGCGTGGACTTGGGGTTTGACCCGCAGGCGCCTAAGCCCAACTACGGCCCGAGCGTTAGGCGCGCCTGGTGGCCAGGTCCGGCGGACTGCGGTTCATGGGGACTGTTAGGGGTGGGTGGTGGCCAGTTCGTCTCCGTTTGTAAGGGTAGGTAGTCACGGGGTTTTCCAATGTATAAAAAAAAATAAAAAATAATTCATCGGGTTTGGATTCTTTAATTGCTTACTCTATTACAAATATATTAGTAAAAAAGGTGCAAAGTTTCTTCTTAATTCGGATTCGGATCCTTATTTGGGAAGATACATTCATATGGATTTTTCCAATCATTTCAGAATAAAATTTTGGTGAACTATCGAATTATCAATATATATATATATATACAGAGGCGGACCTACATGCAATGGAGTGGGGTCCTAGGACCCCATCAACTTAAATAAAAAAATTATGATTTAGTTATAAATTTTATAAAATTTTAACAAAAAATCTAAATGCCCCCATAGAATTTTTATGTGTGCCCTCCTCTTATTTTATTTCTCTATTCTCTTATTTAAATTAAGCAACTTCATTTTTTATTCTTTGTTTCTTATCTATTTTTTTAATATTTCATAACTATTTATTTTATAAAAAACATTTACAATCTAATATTTAATCATAATTTAAAAAACAAAGAATAACTAAATTAAAGATATGTAAGAGTTATTATTTTTATTTTTTATTTAATCATTGATTTCTATGTTTTGATTATAATTATAAATTTTGGTTTTATTTATTTATTTAATTTTATATTTGATTTGGTAAACAATTGATAATTTAAAAAAAAAACTTTTTATCAGGATACTGGAAAAATTATAATCGATAATATATCAAATATTCAAATTAAACAAAGAAACATCTATTCATATTCATTTATATACATATTTTTGAAATTACTTTTGATTTTGTATGTAGTCACCGCGATTGTTGAAAAATGTTTTCAACGATAAATTTTGTAAATTGGTAATCAATTTTTTTATTGATTGTCTAGTTTGTTTTATCGAAAAATATATATTTCAAATGTTACAATGAAGTTGTTATATATAAATTTTAAAAAATAAAAATCATAAAATTTAGTTGTAGAAGGTAAAAAATTTATAATGATATATTTTTTTATTAAATTTTTCTATTTTGTATATATAATAACTATATCCCCATTAACAATTTTTTCTGCGTCTGCCACTATATATATATATATATATATGTATATTAGTAGGGACAACATTAATTTTGATAAGAAAATCCTTTTTTTTTCTTGTTCGGTTAGGATTCAAGTGTCGAATCAGTTCACATATACTATGATAGTTTCCGCACATTGGAAAGGCATGAAGAGAAAAAAAGAAAAGAAAAGTGGGTCCGTGTCTGACGATATTAAAAAAAAAGGGAGAGAATCTCTCAATATGATACAAAATATAAAAAATTCGGAAAAATGAATTTATGGAAATTAGTCGACCAAACCTTCCAATGTAGTAAAAAAGGGAAAGTGGGTCCCATTTGAGGGTATCAAAAAGGGGGAGAATCTGTCAATAATAAATTCGAAATGCGTTTTATGGAAATTAGGTGACCCAACGGAACCCACCGCCCAACCACTGCACCGGCCGCTTCGTATTTCTCATAAAAACCTTACTACACATATTCCTCCCGTTCATCCACAAGGCTTGCATTCCGAAGCGCTGCTAAATCTTTTCTCAGGTAATTCATGATCTGCTAATTGTCTTATACTATGGTTTTTTTTTCCGTATTTTATGTATCGTTATAGTTATGTTTATATTTATCCGATGTTATAAATAAACGTAAACGCACCCATATGCTTTATGCCAGTCAAGAGACTCGTCATCATGAAAATTGTGTTACTATTAACATGCGATTTCCATTTTCGAAAACGCTGTTTTGCATGTGGGCTCTTAATATATGATCATTCACCGGAGTGGGTTCTAGTTTCCCTTCTCTTGATTTCTTTCATCTTGTTTGTCTAATTTTACAGCTTCGACGGTGATTGAATTGCGAATTTTTTGTTGAATTTTAGTTAAAATTTAGTTGTCGTTCCTGTTAAATTTCCGGCATGAAGAATGTATTATTCTCCATTAACAGAGAAAGAAAGAAAAAAAAAACAGAAGGGCTCCAAACCATTGGGAACACCGAAAAAAACAGAAGAGCTCGAGTTATTGTTCATTGCACTGTTATTTCACGGCATTTCTCGATTGCTATGTACGTTTTAGGAAATGGCGAGCACGAGCAACGAGAAGGAGGAGAGAGCCGGGGCCGAGATAGTGTACGGAGCTGAAGAGTGTTACCGGAGCTCGGTGGAGCTTCTAGAGGAGCTAGGGTTTCCGAAGGGAGTGATGCCATTGAAGGACCTTGTGGAGTGTGGGAGGGTCAAAGCCACGGGTTTCGTGTGGATGAAGCAAAAGGCTCCTTATGAACACTTCTTCGAAGCCACTAACACTCGCGTCAGCTACGCCGTGGAGGTCACGGCCTATGTCGAGAGATGTTGCATGAAGAAGATGACAGGTGCGTACATATATATACATATATATATATATATATCAATATGCATATGCAACGATTGCTGTTACGGATCTGCATTTTGGGATTGTATATTTTCTATGTGATATATATATATGTATATATTGTGGAAAATGTAGGGGTGAAGAGTAAGCAGATGTTCTTGTGGGTGCCGATCGTGGAGATGAGAATGGAGGAACCAACAAGCAAGAAGATTCTCTTCAAGACCCCAATGGGCATTGGCAAATCCTTCCCTGTCATTGCCTTTATGGACGACGAAGAGAAACGCCAATACTACTTGCAGAATCCCCAATTCTAATATATATATATATATATATATAAACCATTTGAATAATGATACAGTTTTTTTTTTCCAATATTTATTTCGCAATGTTGTTGGTATGTTTTCAAATGTATTGCTGATAATTAATGGTTGAGAGATCATATATTTATTTTAAATTTTAAAAATTTGTTATTCTTAGTTTTCTTTGTATATCTTTTTTTTTTTTTTGGCCACAGCTGGTCCATGAAATATATTAACCTAACACCAGCCCGTAATTTTATGGCTTCTTGAAAGATGTTTCTTTACCATTTGTCGTGCATTATTCTATATGATCAACTCCCTCAAAAGATTCTGTTTATTATAGCATGTTTTTAAGCACAACATAATTAAATAATCAATATATAAACTATGGACAGAAATCGGAAGCACGACTATGAACCCAAATTAACATTTCGTTTCGGTCATGAAACAAAAAAAAAATACTAATAAAAAATTTCAAGTTAATGGAATTTGTTCTCAAAACTTTTGGCAAGAATTAGTTGGATCCATTCTCAAAGAGTATAATGAAAATGACTTTCAAACGACTCTAATCCTAATTAACATTATCAAAGAGTTAACGATCATTATATTATTGTACCGTTTTCAACAATTTTTCCAGTTTTCAACAATATATATATGAATTATAAACTTATTTATAATGAGAAAATCTCATATAAATACTTTAATTTTACAAAATATATCAAATAAATAGTTAACCCTTTAATTTGATATAATTGATATTTTAAATATTAAAAAGATACGATTTGGTATTTTAAATGTTGAAATATTCAAAATTAATACTTTAACTCACGAAATCATAAAAAATTTACAATTCTGATTCGTTTTTTATATTAAAAATTGACATTTAATTTTTATACATTATCGTCATAGTCGATAATTGGCATCGATTTTATGAGTTAGAGATATCCATTTAGAATATTTTAATATTTAAAATATCAATTTGAAAAATTTTAATATTTAATATATCAATTAAATCAAATTAAAAGTTTACTTATTTATTTAACACGTTTGTAAAGTGAAAATATTTACATGAAATTTTATCTATTTATAACTTGGCTACCAACATGTATATACATATTTCATGTGACCAAATTGAAGACATGTTATTGGTTATTTCTTTTGCATTTTTTTAATCATTAATTAGTATGATGCATATGCATAGACACAAAGCAGCCTCTTTTATTTCGATACTAGCAAAGATGTCGAATCGAAACATTACTTTTCACTTGTAATATTGGTCATTAATAACCGCGGTCTAAAACGTCAATACTCATCCAATGAAATTTGATTAGATCATTTAAACAAAATTTTCAACCAATTATCAATTATCAATTATTCAAAAACTTATAATCCAAAACGAATTCGAATCTATTTTTTAAAAAATTAAGATACCTCTAATTTTGGTTTCGATTCCAAAAAAAAAAATAAAAAATAAAATATTCGTGATGATTTTGGAATTCGAATTCAAATTAAGATGTATTTAGAAAATTTCAAATGCTAAAATCCTTTCTTATTCCGAATATTTTTCTTGACGAGAAAATGAACTTCCAATTGATTATTATACCTCAAGATAAACTATAAAATATTTCGTGAATGGGAAATCAAATTCTATTTTGTTTTCTTTCCATCTCTTTTTTTCTTTTGCTGTGATAGCAAGTAAAGTAAGGGTCAATAATCATGAACAGGCATCAATGTCCGTTAGTGAACAGTCATGGTGTGGAGAAACTTCGCATGGAACGAGGCCTAAATTCCACCTTTTCATGAAATTTAAACTGAATCACATTAAATGCATATATTATTTTTAAAATGTTACTCATATTATATATATATATCGTATCGAGGGTATCTTTCAGTCTATCAGAAAAAAATCTGCGAGGGTAGGTCCATGAACTTTCATTAAATGTTGGTGAGTTTGTTCAACCAATTTGACCCACTTCCTCCCCCCTCATCATTTCTTAATCATTCACATGCATGTCTTTTATAAATGGAAAAAAGAGACGCACCATTTTCAAAAATATTTTCATTACATTTTTCTTTTATAGTTATTGATGTATATATATTTTAAAAGATTATATCTTACAGGCTTAACTGCATGAGAGATTATTTTTTTAATACAAGATTGTGTTATAAATCTTTTATAGTAATGAAAATATATCTCAAATTGGACAATATAAATATTGCTCTTCATAAGACTATACAAACAACATAAAAATAGCTAATGAAATACAATAAAGTGCTTAAAAAAAGGCAAATAAAATACAATAAACGATTTATGGATTTTTCTATCTGAAACAAAACATTTTCATTCGGTCGTTTTAGATTCTTGGATTAAAAAAGAAAATCAAATCAGTCATACAAGATCATTTAAAACCTCCGGCAACCAAATCAGTCACACAAGATCATTTCATTGTTCAAAAGGGCAAATATCATACGTAATGCTTAATAAATTTAGCTCCGTGAATGCTTGATATTTGTATCGTATACGAATATATATATATACCTCATAATATCATTGCATATTCATAATAGTTATTCTATGATGAGTGGTGAGATTTAAATTCCAATTAAAAGAGCAGCAGATTGAAAAAAGCAGCTTTAAACATGGGGGTTGTTGACTCCGACACTTTTTATTGTCAAAATCTTGGTATGCAAAACCACGGGCGGATTTAACTCCTCTTCATATATATATATAACGGACGAACCCTAGGCGCATATATATACATACACGCGTGTGTGTATATATACATGTATATGTTGCATCTCTCTCAGTAACTACATTAGGGTTTCTTTTCTATAGATGGGTCTTTCCTCATACATACAGAGATTGAAGGAAGCTAATTATGCGGGGAGTGTTGTCTGGCTCGACGCCATTAATCTCTCGTTCTTCAGCTCTATTTCTCTATGTTTTGCCGCCCCAAATTATCCACGCACGTATATACATGATATACATACGTACATATCATGTGTGTGTATATATATATACACACCACCTGGATATATATGGAAATATCGATGAACTATAGAGGTAGCGACGTCGGACCAGGCTTCATTCCCCTCAGTCTTATCTTCCACTAGACAGAACCCCTAATTAACCATGTATTACAAGGTGAGCTCTCTCACTTGCATCATTCTCAAAATATGTCTGTGTTGGTGCAGCACATATGTATATATATGTATATGTATGTATGTATGTATATGTATGTATGTATTTGGATAGATTCAGCTTTATATGTCACAGTAATTTCTCCTTAAGTATTTCGTTTATTAAACAAAACCCTTTGTAATCTCCGCCCCCTCTTGTTTCCTTCTCTGTCTACTTTGTATATTGTTGTGATGATCATCTACTATTCTGCTTCTATTTTCCTTTACGTTTTTGTTCTATTCAGAAAAAAGTTTCATCTATATTATATTTCTTAATGGAAATTGGATATTATTTTGATTTGTATTTATTGGTTATGTTGTCTATAGAAACATGATACTGATAAAAAAAAATACTAAGGTTTCATAAAATAGACAAATAAAAATATATAATTAACTAAAAACGGGTGAAAAATATATGAATTGGGAGGGTTTTTTCTTGTTGCGTTAGATACGCACGATCAGGAAGTCAAACGCTCATACAGTCGTACATGAAGCAACAAAATAGGCCTTGATGAGTTGGATATTATTTTGTTTTTTATGGTTGGTTATATTTTTGTGTATGTTATTCTCGTATTCGTTTATTTCTCGTAAATATCATATTTAACCAATTTTTATAATTGTCTATAGTTGGGTTTTAATTTTATTCAATTAGATTTTCAGATATTCGATTTTTCCCCCTAATCGATCACATTTGATTAATTTGATGTTAGAAAATTAATATATGAAATGTGCATGATGATAACATCTCGTCATATTCACCTACGATTTCATTACATATATTTAAGAATAGAAAGTTTGTCAATATTGCAATACACTGAATTTAGAAGGCAGACATAAAACGAAGAATGGGAAGATTATAAACGTGGTGGGCCATGCGGACAGCTAATCGCTGGTGTTATATTTATGACCATTCAACTACTATGCTTACATAATTTTGTCCCATATATATATATATATGTATATATACACGCATATATTCTATATAATATATTATGAATATATATATATATATATATATATACGTACGCGTATATTGACCATCATGAAAGTTGTAGCAATGGTATTCAACAGCCGACGGAGCATACAGGCGTCGACGACCTGTGGCAGAATGGCAACTCACATCACTTGAAGACACAAAAATTGGGTTTTCGTGCGGTCTCTTGTCTGGTGGTCGTCGTCGTTAAATGGGCCTCACTTTATATCTCAGTGGCCCACTATCTAAGCCCAAAGAGGCCCATTAAGACCGGAGCCAATCGATCCACAAAGATCGTCCCTACCGATTTGCCACGCAGATTCGTCTGACCCTTCTCTCCATTTTGAAACGCCCCCAATGCCGATCTCGTCATTCTTCACCATTCACGGTTTTCTCTCAATCTGTTTTGTTTCTCAATCGTGTAAGAAAGGCGTTTGTATATTAGTCAGTTGATCTGCATCTTCATTTCTAGGGTTTCGTCGAGCTTTGGCGATTCTGTCTGGGTGGCGTTAAAGTTTCCTCTTTCGATAGAGGTGCGTCAATTTCCTTTGATTTTGTGGGGTTAAGTGAGGATAGGTTAAATTAGGTTTCCAGATTTCGAATCGTACTGTTGCTATCGGTTGTCACTTGTAAGAGTTGGACTGAACGTGCATTAGGGCATGTTTCTGAAACATTAACCTAGATCTTATCTGATTTGGTTCATAGATTTTGGATTGGATGTTGGAATGTGGATTTAGATATTTAGAGATATACTTCTAAAACTATAAAAGTATGTTCCTTTTATCTAAGAAAATGCCATTGTTTACAAACTTCCTGTTTCTGTTGTTTAAAACTTGAGTATGCTGAAAATGGTGATGATCATAATTGGCAAAAACATATGTGTATCGATAAACAGTAATTATAAATCTAATTTACCTTTATTCAGGGCGTAAGTTGCACCATTAGATTTTTTTTGGGTGTCCGCGTAAATAATTAAACGTTATGGGAGGTTGAAAAGTAAATTAATAAAAGAAACGGGGCAATTTAATCACATCCTGTTGGTCCCTCAACCATCACTACATGTTCTTACCATATGGGTCCCACTCCGACGCACACAGTCCCACGTCATGATCTGCTAACGCCGTTACCTAACGGACTTCATATCCTCATGTCTCATCATTCGTCAACCGTTCATGTATGTATTTTGCGTCTGTCTCTTTATCGTCTGTTACTGTTACGTTGAACATGGAATATGAACTCGACGTTTAGTGAGACCTCATGTCTCATCATTCGTCAACCGTTCATGTATGTATTTTGCGTCTGTCTCTTTATCGTCTGTTACTGTTACGTTGAACATGGAATATGAACTCGACGTTTAGTGAGAGAAACCAAGACGTTACCGAGGATCGAAGGATTAGGGACGAGGAGGTGACGGAGAGTTAACGGCGTCACCAAAGGAAACGACAATGTAGGACGCCACATTGTTCTCTCACCACTAGACCACGCTTGGGTTTGAACCCATGATGAAAGCATGCTTTGCATGTTCTCTCACCACTAGACCACCCAAACTTGGGTGTTTCTTAGTTCTTTTGCTGTTTCCCAGTTTTTTTTTTGGAGATACGTAGTGGTTGTCTGAGGAAAAAAATCGGAACCTCGAGGACACCAAAAACTCGGAAGATTTTTTTTTGGTAATCGAAAGCTCGGAAGATTTCCCATTACCAAGTTCAGTTACAGCGAGAAATACATTAAACAGAAGAGTTTTGTCGGCGTTGTCTTTTTTTTTTGATGAGTCAGGGTTTTGGGAGAGGCTGAATGGTTGATTGGGGGGTGAAGGAAAGGTGATATTTTGAAAGAAAAACGCAGTGTTTTTTTTTGAAAGAAACTTTTTTAGTGGATATACACGAGACAGACAAAGAGTTTCATCGTCGTCTTTCTCTTCTTCGTCCTTCTGTTGCTGCTAAGCCTGCTATGATGGAGTTATTAGTAGCAGCAGCAGCAGCAGCACTGGGGGTCCTGTGTTTTGTGCTTCAAACGACCAGACACTCGCCCCTTGTCTCAATAACGTGTTCTACAATGTCGGTTCCAGTGCCGCTGCTTCATCCGCTGACCCTTTTTCCACGCTGAGCTCTTCAGGTCAAAGTTGTTATCTTTATGAACTTCCGAGTTATGAATTGGCGCTGAAGTACCGCGAGGGAAAGATGATCGTCTCTTTATCGTCTGTTACTGTTACGTTGAACATGGAATATGAACTCGACGTTTAGTGAGAGAAACCAAGACGTTACCGAGGATCGAAGGATTAGGGACGAGGAGGTGACGGAGAGTTAACGGCGTCACCAAAGGAAACGACAATGTAGGACGCCACATTGTTCTCTCACCACTAGACCACGCTTGGGTTTGAACCCATGATGAAAGCATGCTTTGCATGTTCTCTCACCACTAGACCACCCAAACTTGGGTGTTTCTTAGTTCTTTTGCTGTTTCCCAGTTTTTTTTTTGGAGATACGTAGTGGTTGTCTGAGGAAAAAAATCGGAACCTCGAGGACACCAAAAACTCGGAAGATTTTTTTTTGGTAATCGAAAGCTCGGAAGATTTCCCATTACCAAGTTCAGTTACAGCGAGAAATACATTAAACAGAAGAGTTTTGTCGGCGTTGTCTTTTTTTTTTGATGAGTCAGGGTTTTGGGAGAGGCTGAATGGTTGATTGGGGGGGGAAGGAAAGGTGATATTTTGAAAGAAAAACGCAGTGTTTTTTTTTGAAAGAAACTTTTTTAGTGGATATACACGAGACAGACAAAGAGTTTCATCGTCGTCTTTCTCTTCTTCGTCCTTCTGTTGCTGCTAAGCCTGCTATGATGGAGTTATTAGTAGCAGCAGCAGCAGCAGCACTGGGGGTCCTGTGTTTTGTGCTTCAAACGACCAGACACTCGCCCCTTGTCTCAATAACGTGTTCTACAATGTCGGTTCCAGTGCCGCTGCTTCATCCGCTGACCCTTTTTCCACGCTGAGCTCTTCAGGTCAAAGTTGTTATCTTTATGAACTTCCGAGTTATGAATTGGCGCTGAAGTTTGTGATTTTGATGAGTTTTAATGTGTTTTGGCGTAAATTTAGGGGAAAGTACGAGTGAGAAGACAGGTGTTTTCAGTGAAGCTCAGTTGCAAGAATGTGAGAGGCACAGGAATCTATATAGCTAATGCTGGCTTCTGTTCCTGTTCCTGAAAAATATGCTTCTCGTGATCAATTCAAAAAACTCATCAAACACTAACCCAGATGGTAAACCTCTTTTACTGTCTTTGCTTGATCATCTTTCATGGGTTTCTGTTTTCTCGGTTGTTTCATCTGGAAAGTAATTAACTTTATCCATCATGGCGGTGATGTGATCGTAAGGCTTGGTTCGAAGCCACAGATACCATTATATATAATGATTTAACTCTACTTTGATGTTTTATAAGTGTAAGTTGTTTTCATGAGTGATAGATCTCTTGTTGCACTGATAATCTTAAATGGGTTGGTTTAATAGTGAATTAAGGCACTAAATAGAGATCGATCTCGCTGAGTGTGAACAGTACGTTAAAAACGAATCTAAGGTTTGAGTCATATTGATCTATGTGGATCCATTGGGTTTTGTCCGAGCCAAGGATCTTGGAACTCATGCTTGTAGAAGAGAGCCTGTTTTGTCGGTTGATGGGATTCTGCTTGTTTTCATTGTCTACTCCGGTTAAAAACGAATATATGGTTTGAGTCATAGCGATCTATGTGTGGATCCATTGGGTTTTGTCCGAGCCAAGGATCTTGGAACTCATGCTTGTAGAAGAGAGCCTGTTTTGTCGGTTGATGGGATTCTGCTTGTTTTCGTTGTCTACTCCGGTTAAAAACGAATCTAAGGGTTGAGTCATATTGATCTATGTGTGGATCCATTGGGTTTTGTCCGAGCCAAGGATCTTGGAACTCATGCTTGTAGAAGAGAACCTGTTTTGTCGGTCGATGGGATTCTGCTTGTTTTCATCGTCTACTCTGGTTGCAGTCGAAAAAGGAGGATCTCTGAAATTGGGGATTGCTTCAAGTGCAAGCAACAGCATGGATCTGGAGCCATGGCGGTGCCGAAGAACAGACAGGGAAGAAATGGCGGTGTTCGAGATATGTCATTCCTGATCACAAGTATTGTGAAAGACACTCTCACAAGAACCGCCCTCATTCAAGAAAGCCTGTGGAATTACCTCCTCACACTCCTAATCATTGCTCTTCCACCATTTCCGTTGCTTCTAAGAACAATACTACTGATCAGTTTGCAGGGACTTATCTTCAAAACCCAAACTTTTCCAGTCAATCCGAGACCCAGTTAGCTATGTGTCCCACTCCGGCCTCTGCTTCCTCTTCATATGATCAACACAGGTGCGTTTACTGTTTACATGCTCTGGTAATGGAATTGATTTTGGCGTATATCAATGCAAAACTAAGCTTTTCTTTTCAACGAGAACATCGAATCTGTTTTAGACATTAACCTTGTTGAACAATTGTTTGGCATTAGTGCACTGGATTATTATTCACCATCGATATGATGATACACAAGTCGTTTGATCCATGTAGGGGCTCGAGATGGTTTATGAAAGATGACGATGCTTCTGTAATGAATTCTTCAAGCCAAGACTTGCGGGAAACGATTCAGCTGAAGGTGGGATCAAGCCAAGAACCAAGAAGATCCAGTGGTTACGATCTGAATTTTGTGCAGAAAGGCCAGTCGGTAAGCCAGAGCTTTGGCTCGTTGGAGGGTCTTGTGAGCCTAAACCAAACACAAGCTCAAGAGACAGAGACAAGGCACTTCATTGACGCATTTGAAAATGAAGCAATAGGAAGCTCTCTCGCTCTGTCAATGGCTGGAGAGGAAGAACACTGCAGAAATGAAGCAGTGGATACTCTGATGATGGGTACGAACCGTCATCAGTGGATGTGTCACAAGGGGTTGTCGTGGTTGGGTTCGTCCCCTGGTGGGCCATTGGCTGAAGCTTTGTGCCTCAGCGTCTGGAGTAATGGCGGTAGCTGCAGCATCACTGATACGACCAATAGTAGCTGCAGCGGAAGCTCAAGCTGAAAAGACAGGGTAGGTGAAGTCAAGAAACTATGTTAGGAAAGAACTCAAATTATTTTTCTTAATTGGTTGTGTTTGGGATTATAGTCATATGATCTATGCCTTACAGTTCCCAGTCATTTGATGGAAACTCAAACTAACTCCTCTGGGTTTGGTGTTCTTGCCGAGTTGGACTCTATTAGGCTTTGTTCAATCCAGTTTCTTGTGTTTGGAAATGTTCATGTTTGTTGTCTTGTCCCCTCTCTCTCCACTGGTTCATGTGGATTGTGTTCATGTTGCATGAATTGGAATCAGAATATGAATTTTTTCAGAGACAACGCCTACAAAATGTTGAAATTCTGAAAATTTTTACACTCCTAAACAGAGAAAACCCTTTTGGATCTGTTCTGCGATGCTAATTTGCTAATCCATGAAGACAACATCGGACGAGGAAAGCGACAAAGAAATTGAATCTATATAATCTCCAAAAGTCTCTCACTTTAGCCATCGGAGATCGGTCGTGGAACACGGCGAGATCTCTCCGGCGAACCCATCAGCATAACAACAGGAGTAATCCGATTCATGATCTCCCCAGAAGCAGCCATTGTAGGCACTCTTAAAGCTCGGACTCCTCAACCTGTCGTACCCTTTGTCCTCGTCCTCCGCATAGCTCAGCCGCTTCTTCACCGACGAACAATCGCCGCCGACCCTCCGCCGCGGCGTGCTCTGAGGACGAGCCCTCGCCTTCGCCGACTCCGTCGCCGTCATGTAGTTCGGCCGCACCACCGGCGACGGCAACGGCGAACTGGGTCGGTACGGTACTCGCGGGCTAGCCGACCTCACCGCCGTAGGCCTGACCCTGCACGACGGCGGAGGCGCCGGAGACGGCTGGGTTCCAGCGGCGGATTTTTGCGGTACGGTACTCGCGGGCTAGCCGACCTCACCGCCGTAGGCCTGACCCTGCACGACGGCGGAGTCGCCGGAGACGGCTGGTTTCCAGCGGCGAATTTCTGATGGGTCGGTGTCTTGCGTGGATTCGACCTCGTGTCCATCTCCAGATCCTTGATCGGGACTCGGACCTTGTGGTGATGATCGATTGAAGCTCTGCTGCTCATGGTGTCGTCCCATTGCTTCGTTGCCATCCACCGGTCGAGCCACTTGGTGCTCTCCAGAAGCTCCGTCTCGTCGCCGGCCGACGGATTCCGGCCAGACCGTCTCCGTATCTTAACAGAAAAGGACAAATCTTAGTTCAGAGATTCGCAAATCGCAACAGAACAGAACACGTAACACTGTTCTAATTAACTGACACATATTTACGCAATTACACCATGCATAAAGACAGTGGAGTGAAGAGAAGAATCTGAATTTAATTACCTGATTAGAGAAGGCATAAGCAAGGGCTTTTTCTCGTTTCAAAGCAGCTTCAAGCTTCTTCTGCAATATCGATTCAGTTTCTTGATTGGTAAGGATTCGATCGTCCCATTCACTTGCAGTACTGCAGCTCATATCCCTCGACTGCGACTCACAGCGATAAAACCAGATTAAACTTAACCCGACACTGACTAATACAGAAGAGTTCGAGGTGGTAATTAAGAATTTAGAATTGTAATCACCAGAGATCGACGGTTCCGAAGCTCTTGGAGATGTTTGGAGTCTAAGAAGACGGTAGATTCGGCGAACATGGAGTTTCTTCTGGATTCGTTCGACGAAGAAACCCTTGAACGTTGATGGTTAAGCACTCGATCCTGGACTCTGACCAGAGCTTGAATGCACTTTAATGTCATTTTTGCCTGTCTTCTCACGTTGTGACCTCTCACTAACGCTTGCAGCTGCACTATCCCTTTTAACGCCCGTAACGCTCTCCTCGCCTTCAACCCAAAAAATAAAAATAAAAAACAATTCAGCAAACTAAACTACTTGGACGAACCCTAGTTTTGTCAGACCAGATCCGAGCAAAACATGGTGCCAAACATTATTATATAAAAAGAAGACATTGATTTGATTTTGCAACTCACAAGGTAGCCTCTGAAAGCTGTTTGAATAATGATCGCAGCCCAGTGACGTCTAATGAAACCTGGAGTAGCGGTGGATAGCTTTACTATCTCCGCGGCCGCAGAATCAGCGGCTGTGACCGCAACCGCTGTTTTGTCTTCCACGATTGTCTTTGGGCTCGTCCCGACGACGACAGTATCAGGAACACTAGCGGCTTCGGGTTTTGCCTTCCGAAACAACCATCCTCTTTTTTCCCTCTTCTGTGACCAAAGATCGAAACTTTAGGGACAAATCTCAAGGCCCAAGAATCGAAAATTCGAAGATTATTAATAAACAATGAGGTTTAATGGAATCAGACCTTAGAATCTTCTTGTTGGTGGTCGTGCTCGTCCTGTTCTTCTCGTGACTGGTTTCTCTTCTTGTCCGAATCCCTCGAGGGTGACCGGAAGGCCTTTTTCACGGCGGAGAACCACGACGACGAACCGTTCTTCTTCGCCATTCAATGTTTCATAAATCAAAAGAAAACTCGAATGGGAACGGAGAAATGTTCAAATGGTGTAAAATACAGACGGTTACAGGGTTGATGAAGGTGACGAGCTTTGTTTGCGAAAGTATTATAGGTATATATATACACACACACAAAATAAAAGGAAAAGTATTATATATATATATTAAACAAAAAAAAAGTGAGACATAAAAATTATGCAATCTTGACATGTGATTCTGTCAATTGGGATGTTTTGTGACGAACAAGAATAAAGTAATGGAAGAAAATTGTGGGTTTAGGGTTACAAAGGTGGCATAAATATGAATTCATATCAAACGCCAAAAAGAGAGTATTTGGTTTAGTATTAATATAAATCAACATAATGTTTTTTCAAAATTCTCTCTTTATTATTGAATTCTCTCAAATTCAATAGGCTGTCACACCAAAAATAAATTAATTAACAAACAAAATAAACTATTAACACAGGATAATCCATCGGTTACTTGATTTTTTTCCTATTAGAACAGTTTTTTTATTGAGAGACGAATCTAAACTATGAAATATTAAGGGTGGAATAGCTAAAAATTTCGTGATTTTTTAACAAAAAAAATCATCAATCATTTTTTTCATCAAATAAAATATAAAATTTAAATTTAACAAAGAATACATTAATGATATGTTTTCTTGCAAAATAATGTGAAGGATATAAAAAGAGATTTTTTTGCTTCAAGTTTTGTGAATTTATTTTTGCCATCCTCTATAACAGTGATGGTTACATATAAAGCATCTTTTATTTCGAATTCTTTAAAAGTTTTTTTTAAAATTTATTTTTGACATCCTCTATAATTAGTGATGATTATCATATAAAACAATGGGCCAAATATGCCTGATATTGATAATAATCCAAAATGTTTGGTTCTGAGGGTAACTTTCAAAGAAAAGAGAGTAACGAGGGTGTCAGAAATATTGCAAACTTTAGGTTATAATACAGGAAATCAAATGACAAGTAAGTACACTGCACCATATTATATGAAAATGACATTATTAAATCATTAATTAAATTATGCATATCTATATATACACACACACGTACAGATACAGATAGAGTAAGTGAAAAAAAAAATTGACGGTCGAAGAAGAGAGCCACAGACTTTAATGCACTGTGGCACAAAGAATCCAAAGTTTCCTTGAGAATAGTTTTTAGGTTTCAGCTTTCTTTCATTGGTTTCACGTGTCTACAACCCTTTACGCAGTTGCAATCCCCCATGGAATGAAATGAATTTATAATCATTTATAATCTTTCTATATTTTTTCTAATATAGAATGCAAGCTTTTTTTTTGTCTATATACAATATGAGAGAATATTGGAGACGGTTGATATATTGTAGAAAACATATGTATATGAAATTAAATTCAAATGACATGATGAACCAAATAATAAATAACTCTACAGAGAATAAATTTAAACATATGTATGTATATATGAATTTGTGTATATATATATATTAATTTAAATAAATTATTAAATTTAAATTTTGTTTGAAATGATGATGTGTGTATGATTTAAAAGTCATATAATTATCACATCATCATTTTTGTTTGAATTGGTAGATGCGGGAGATTTTCGGTGAATTTTTAAAAAGTTCATGTTTTTATCGGTTAATACCACCAAATACAGGATCTAATTGATAATAAAAGTATATAGTTTTTTTTGTTTACACGGAAAGAGTACGGAGTTTTTTTGACGATTTTTTCTAAATTTTAATAAAAGATGGTTTAGATATGATAGTACGTGTTTAAATTATTTGAATTTGAAATAAACAACTTTAAAAAATTTAAAATACAATATTTAGTACGCGCCCAAATAAAATTTGAACAAATTGAAATCCAAATAATAATAAAATAAATATAATTTTTTAAAAAATAGATATTTTTCTTTTATATTTTCCGTCCGTTATGGTGATAAATTTCGATATTCAAGTCAATTTTGCAGAGTGAAATAAATTAACTCGCAAGATTTAAAAATGAATTTAATTATAATAATAATAATAATAATAATAATTATCAGGTTGAAATCGCCTTTACATATGTAGTATACACAGTACATGACGATAGGTACGTATGAGAGGCTAATAAATAACAAAGATTGAGTAATTGGAGAACGACAAAACCTCGAAGGGTACCAAATAGGACACTTATATCTAAATATATAAATAGACAAAATAATAGCTTCGGAAAGTGAGATTATATATTTATAGCTTCGAGGAAAAAACGTAGTTTTCTGCCATGCAACGTGACCTCCTTGGACCAGTCAAACCCCACCTCCGAGTACATACATTAGAGAAATGAATCGAAAAAATACTATATTTTTCTTAATTCGAATCGTATAAATTTTTTAAAAAAATATTAATTTTAGAAAAACTGAATTTTTTGAAATCAAATCGAATTTTAAAAAGATAAAAACTAAAACCGAAACCGATCCGACCCGAATATAATATAATAACCGATTAGTATCTATTTTTAATAAAATCGAAAGAAACAAATCTAACCATTTCTGATTTAAATCTAAACTGAATATCGAAATATCCATCCTTAATTAAATTTACGTTGAGGTGTATCATACGTTTTTATAACAATGATATGTTTATGTAGTAATATTGTTTTTAATATCTAGCATTTAAATCCAATTCTGTCTAAAAAAACCACATATTGTTATAAAAATGATAATATACTTACCATAATAAATCCATTTAATCTTCTTCAACTACTCTTATATATTGTACACATGTTGAGAGCCATTGAAGAAATCGAATATATATATGTTTACTTACCAAAAGGAGTTACATACATTATTAATATATATATATGGGCATAAACCTGATCTTAATTAGTAAAAAAGATCAAAGAGCCTATTGTCGTAGCTTTTTTTTTTTTTTTTGATAAAAATGTATGTAACTTATAGTTAACTCCATAAATATGGTTAGAGGAATATTACGAGGAATTTAAAGTGGTGTAACGAGGTAGTAGGTAGGATTAATTTTAATAACGTTATTTAGGACCATGTGGTGGGTCGTAAATGGCAATTAATTTTATTTATTTATCTAATCTTTCACATCTTTAGAGTAGCTATTTCAATTATTATAATTGATACAATTATTATTATTACTATTATTATTATTATTATTATTATTATTATTGAACATTTTTTTTTCACATTCAGAGCATGTGGGACTGGGGAAAAAGGCTGAGCACTGGTGGTCTCTGTGGCCACTCTCATAATTGCCATCGTTGTGTTTCTCTATATATATATAGCAAAACATTTTTGAGCTTTATTAATCAAAATTGAGTTTTTATACAAAAACTAACCAAAAATATATTTTTATATCGATGGAAAAAGGGCTTCTATTGTTAAAAAAAAACATAAATATTTATAATAATAACCCGTCTAGCACCAAATTGAAAAAAAAAAAGATGTTGATTGGATCGTATCGTTCTTTGAAAGGATAATTTTGAACCATGCAATCAATATGATTGTGGAGCTCAACCGTTACAAATATTTTGTTAATTAATGATTATATTATATATTAGTCTCGCTCCTTGCATAGAAATTTGGATAAAAAAATTTAATGAGTGAATTTCATTTTAGATCAATTACTCGCTCATCCATTCATTCGAGACAATAAATCCAATGACGTGTTTGGCCAAAACTCGATAAGAGAATTTATAGTAAATATAAAATATAGTTACATATAAATTCTAAATTATTTATAATTTTAAGTTTTTATATAAAATTGACATATAATAAGGATAATACAATTTTGAAACATTTAAATGTACTAGGATATACATATAGAATTTATATGGTAAGTAAATACTTCTTGATCTTAATTATATTATTTTCTAAATAATAATATTTATACATATATATCATTTTTTTAATATTTTAGAAGTTTATTGAATCTCTTATCTAACTATTATCTCCAAATATCAGAGAAATACATGTAAATGTTTCACCCTAAATAGAGATTCGAATCTGAATTGGAAAGGAGATTTGCTCTATTCTTTAATCGTCGAGCCATTTGAGTTATACGTATCCTATATTATCATAGATGGATTCACATAATAATTAAAGACCATGAATTTAGTACTAATATATAGAGTTGAATGATATATATATATATATATATATATATATAAGTTTATTGGGTATTTAAAGACCGTTGTTTTAGCTCCGAAATTACAATGGTGAAAAAAGCTCTGTCGTCACCAACACCAACTACTCTATTAATGGGCAACAACACGTGAGTGGTGTAATCATAATGAACTTTATATTAATTAGTGGTAAAACATTAATACAGCGGTAAACGATCCTCAATTATACCACTGTATATGTTAGTGGTAATATCCGGTTATTAATAAATTACTACGTTGGTAATTGCAGTAATGTATATACGTACATACACACACACTAGTTGAGTTATTAGTACCATCACCAACCAATCGATGTGTCTATTTAGATATATAAATTAAGTATATAAAAAAGAAGAATTCTAATTTTCATTTTCGCATGTTTCCCTTTCTTTTCATTTCATATATATATCCCCGATTAATCAAACAATGCAGCATTTGGTGGACGCCAAAAACCAGACAACATTTTCATAAATCAACGGTCCATATCGCTCTTGTGTAACCAACAGTTCAAATGTTTTTGGAAGATCCAACAATTCAGGTTGAATCTCCATATATCGCACGTGATCAAACAACGTTGGACTGTTGGCGTGTTTCATCTCATTGCTTGTATTTTGGGCCTTAGTCACATGATCCACGGTTTGTTCATACTTCTAACAAAGCCCGATTCGTGGAATCCGGTAATTTATAATTATTTCATTTTACTATCCCTTAGGTTTGTCCGTGATATTAAGAATTTGGAAAACCAAGCTGTTGCGGGCACGAGGTTCGGTAACCCGAACCGAAGGCGAGAGGAGGAGAGAGAGAGAGAGGCACAACGAGGGTTTCGGGTAGGGCGAGATTCACGAGAGAGCTCGGGAACGGCACGAAGGTTTCGCCAAAACAATATACGAGTTGGATCACGAGTTATGGTCTTGAATCTCCAAAATTACGGATTATATAATTTCGTTTTTATCTGCTTAGTGAACTCTGCGGTCTTTGAGAGATTCGAGCATAATTTGGCGGTTCTACCGACCACCTGAACCCGATATCGATCTTCCTACAAAATAAATCTTTCAACTTCTTTTATATTTTTTGTCGAAATCTCCTTGCAAATTATAACATTTTTTTTTTAAAAGATCGGTTTTTTGTTCAAAACATCGCCTTTTCCCCTTCTTATATTGCTCCTTCGCGGCCTCACCCTTTATCGATTGGAACCCGTAGATACAATCGTCCGAAAATTCGAATATCCATCACGTCAACCCCTAATACATGTATATATATATATACACACAATGGCAGATCTAAAGAAATACATAATTGGGGGATAAATCTATTTTTATTATGAGCAAATTTAATTTTATGGAGGGTATTTCATAATTTTATTCAAAATTTTACGAAATTTATGTAGAAAATAAAATTATTTAATTTGTCAAATGGGCCACTATATATATATAATCTCACGTATAATGTTAATACAAAACATTATTCATATTTTAATGAATGATATGTACGTGTGGGGTCTGTCGGCCTATCCCCGACGCTCCGATTGGTTTATATATTATCATATTTTTTTTTTCTATTTTTTTTTTAAATAGTCCTGCGCTAAAAATGAAAAAAGTTCAATGATTTTTTTATTTCTTTTCTTTTAGGTTTAAGGAAAGCAAATAAAAGGAAAAGGAAACGTGTGAGGTGACTTCCCATCTGTTTCGGAAACACTCTGTTTGGTTTTTTATTCAGGGACAGAATTATAATAAGCTGAACTGGAAGCTTCATATAACTCTTTCCTTCGACAATATACTACAAATTTTAATTACATGTATTTGGAATTTTGACCAATAAGTTGGTCGAGTTCTTGATTTACATTTCTTTTAATGTTAAATAAAATACCCAAATAAACAAAACGAAAAGGGTTTGTTGGGCATTCACTAAAAGAAAAATTATCACAGAATTTTACATTTTATTCCTAAATTTATTTTAAATTTTAATTGACTTTTTAAGATCTAGTTATTTATGTTCAATGGTTTTGACAGTTAACTAACACTACAAAAAAATCCTCGAATTCCAACGGATTTTCAACGGTTTTCAACGGCGTTTCAACGACGATTTCCGTTAAAATTCCGTTGAAAATTTCCAACGGATATCCGTTGGAAACACCCGTTGGAAATTTTTAACGGAATTTTCAACGTATTCAATTGAAAAATTGGGTTGGAAATTTCCAACGGATATCCGTTGGAAACACCCGTTGGAAATTTTTAACGGAATTTTCAACGTATTCAATTGAAAAATTGGGTTGGAAATTTCCAACGGATATCCGTTGGAAATTTTCAACGGATTAACGTTGGAAAAATCGGTTGCAAATTTTTAACGGAGTTCCAACGGATGTTTGTTAGAAAACAATTCCAACGGAATTCCAACGGATGCCGATTGGAAATTTTTTTGGAAATTTTTAAAAAAATTCCAACGGAATTCCAACGGACATCGGTTGGAAATTTGGATTTTAATTAAAAAATCAATTGAAATATATATATATATATATATATATATATTTAAATTCATATATATGTATGTATAATATATATTTGATATGTATATATAAAATATATATACATAAAATATACATATATTTATACATATATATACGTATAAATATATAAAAGACTCGTATATTTAAATATATATATACATACATATAAATATAA